AGGACAAAAAGGCTGCACTTGAAGAAAAAAAAAGCCATTCAGTGAAAGTTCAGTCATCTGCAAACTACTCTTTGTAGTCGGCATAGACAAAAAGGCTAGAATTTTGCATGAAGAACATATTTAACGCATCAGAAGAACATGTTTTGCATGTTTTTATAGCTAACTATAATTTCAAAATCCTGTAACACGGTGACACCCAAAAAATATCTAAATATGTCGAGAGGATTATACTAGAAGACTTAGTTGTGTAAATGATCTAACAGAAAAACACTTGATAAAATGTATTAGTCACAAAGGTCTGGCATCCGGAATTATTCGAAAAACACTTTCAAGTGCTTCACTAGTAAAGCACTAATGCGTAGCCGTATARAGCGTGGTGGATGTTTTGAAAGCGAGACATAAAGAAAACATTGCGATATAGGTTGCTATCAATAGACGTCACTTCCGGTGATAGCTCTTTTTTGATGGCTTGTAGAATCCTGGAGGTTGTTTTGATCTCTTGTTTTCTGGTTTGATGTCGTGAAAATAGTCAAATACAATAGTTTGAGGACTTATTTTGATGTTTTGACTTAAGATCCGCTAGTTGCCCCTCTGCAGTCAACAGCTTGTTTGCCCCCCAGTCAACTCCAAAAAGTCACGTGATTGATAGTAAGCAATAGTTTCACCYTCTAAACTGTAACCTTCAGACGTGACGAAGTGACGAAAAAACTCCTTCGTCGGAAACGAAAACTAGACTAACATTTCATCCCAAATCAAAGTTGAGCAAAGTAGACTATCGAAGCCAAAATAAACACGACTTACTATGCCGGTTAAATTTGAATCCGCAACTTTCACACCGAAACCGAAAAAAGTTTTCCGTCCACACATGAAAACGGATAAAACGTTTCGCGTCCACACTAGTCCGATCAGAGGCGGCAAAAACGCTTCATTGCACATCTGAGCATGTGCATCGAAGCTGAGATTGAGCCCGCAGTGAATTTTTAGCATTCCCGCCACGTTCCCATGACAATCATGACGTCATCGTATTCCTTCGAAAAGTTTCGGATACGAAATGTTCTCCGTCCACACTTATACCGCTAGCCGGCGTTTTCAAATTGTTCCACTCTGGAGACCGTATTCGAAAAAAATCGTTTTCGGTGAAGAATTGTTCCGGATTCGCCGGGACTAGTGTGGACGGTAGGCCTAACTGAATAAATAAAAATACGGATTCGAAAATTTATCCGGCATAGTGTGGACGGGGCCTAAAGCAATTATGATAATTATATTCTATCACTCATACTTTTGTTTAAGAATGAAGTGAAGTTGGTCACTAAGCTGAATTTCAGTTTCTGTGAAACGACGACGCACTAGTGGCCTCCAAGGCTTGAAGTGCACGGTTTCCCGGCATCCATGGGCGAGTCAGGACTGAAAAATATATATAATACTGAGTATCATCAGCGTAACCATGAACTGATGGAAGGTGCCACAAATCGGTAAGAAAATGTTTCTGTTTTAAACAAAGACTTATCTAATCTTCAAAAATGGTTTCGAGCTAACAAACTAACAGTAAAACTTAACAAAACAAAATATATATTCATTTAGGTTCAAAACAACGAGTAAAAAATGTGATGGTTGACTCGAGTCGCAGCTAACTCATTAACACTAGGATGATCAAAGCTACAAATATAAAATTCATTGGTCTTGTTTTCGATGAATGTTTAACATGGAGCACCTTGTAGTTTTTTCTTTTTCTTCTTTGATCCTAAATACGACAGCCAACTAGAAAGCTTTTGCTCCTTTGGCTGTCGTACACTTATACCTATTATATTGTTACTTATAGTGAAAATTCTAAAAATTATTAAACTATATATATGCTTGTAATTCTTTTATATAAAATTGAAAAACAAAAAAAACAAAAAAACAAAAAAACAAAAAAACAACAACAACAACAAAAAAAAACAAACAGTGTAAATAAACTGAAATTGAATTGAATTGTTGACTTCTTGTGCCGTACAATTGCAAAGTCAATAGGAGTTCTCTACAGAGCTTTGTCTACTCGTACATTAGCTATGGCACTCTGATTGGAATTCTAACTATAAATCAAGGGTGTTGCCCATCCACATTCTGTAAAAACGCGCCCTGTCAATCATTGCTTTTTCTGATGCTAAGGCACCGCAAGCAGACCTTTATTTCAAAAGCTTGAAATATTAAATATATTTGAAATAGTAAAACTACAGCTCGCTGAATTGACCTACAAATATTTAAATAAGCAATTACCTAGTATATCGTCTAGTTCTTTTAATAATTATACAGCTTCTCATTATAATCCCATATAGGTAACTGTCCAATTATTTTCTTAATTGGACAGGTCTTGTTGATATGGGATTAATTAGGCAGCTATATAATTAATAGGTAATGGGATTCCATGCTCCCCAATCAAGAAATAATTAGACTCGAAAAATTCCTCTCGGCCTACGGCCTCATCAAATTTTGTCAGTCCTCGGAATTTTCCTCGTCCAATTATTTCTTAATTGGACAGCATGGAGTCCTATTACATATACTAATGCCAATTTTCACATCAGCATAATACAAGATTCCAACCTGACCAACCAAAATTCCAACCAAAATTATCTTTTTCCCTCGTGAAAATCTAAGCTATGATCAGTTTGGCGTGCATCACGCAGCAGCCAGAAACTGGAATGAAATTCCTCTAGAAATAAAAAATTCATCATCAATGCTCACTTATATTTCTTTGCAATTCATATCAGTTAATTGCCCTACTTCACAAACAATCTATTGTTTAAACGCAAAGGATGATGGTCTTCGGATGGGGTCAAATCAACGCAAACTAACCAAAAATTGTTCTAAAACCCGTATCAATCCACGAAGAGAAGTAGAATAGCCAGCAAACGCTCGGAATATTTTTTAGTACATATTAACACATATCATATCTGAAAACCAGACCATTTTAGATTAAACTGTTTCGCTAGGGTCAAATTTTGTTGAATTTTCTATTGGATTTGGCGATTCTATCCCCGACATAAACAAGCAGTGACGTCATAGTGAATTAGGTCAATTATCCAAATATATTTGGTTAGAGTTGCAATTAAACTTGTAAATATATAGAAGTATACACCTACTTGCAAGAAAGTTGTCATACAAGAGTACAACATTAGTAATTTAGTGAGAAAGGAATACATTAAAAGACAAAAGAAAAAGTTTAGCTTCAGTGATCTTCTTTCGTTTTTTAATATAATTCCTATCCCACTAAATCACTAGTGTTCTATTTTCGTATGACAACGTTCTTGCAAGTAGGTGTATACATGTATCACTCGAATTCACAACAGTATAACGTCATGCTAGCTAATATCATGCATTTTTCACCGTCTTCAAACTTTATACAAGATATTAATCAGTTGAATTTATAACCCTTTTGGGCGCAAGAGTAACTTTTTAACCCAGTTTTGGGTTGTCTATCTTGCACCCTCCACTTAATTTTAATCTCATTTTTTGTTTTTTGTTGTTGTTTGTTGTTATTGTTGTTATTGTTGTTTTTGTTTTGTATTTTTTGTATTTTTTGTTTGTTTGTTTGTTTTTTTTTTGTGGAAAAAAAAAACCTTCGAAACCCTTTGAAACTTTTGGCTGTGCACAACGGTCTGTTGGAAAATACGACGAAGACCCTTGGGTGCTATTGCGCTTTGTTCTTCATTTTCTAAAACAGAAGAAAAACAAGACCCTGGGAGTAGGGTGGACTTGGATAACTGGGTAGGAACACGCCTGAAAAAGTCTCTTGGGTAAGGTCCTGAAAACCACTTGGTACTATTGCGCAATTTTTCCTCTTTGGAAAAAAAAGAAAGAAAACCACAGTTGTGACTTATCAATTGAATAATTAAATTGATTGATAAAAATAATAATAATCATTTTAAAAAAAAGAATAAAAAAGTGAAAACAAAAACAAAAACAAAAAAAACAAAAAACAAAAAAAACTAGTAGTCCAAATTCCTTTTTGCACAACTTGGAATTAATAACATCAGAAAAAATCTGTTAACATTTAGTCAGCTACGATTTCAAGCTCACGCCCCCTCATGTGAGCCCATACAAATTATGTCTCAAAAACACGGTTTTTGGATCTTTTTTCAAAATAATCTCTAGGTAAAAA